AAATTTCATGTCATTAGCACCTCTAGTAATATATTTACTGAGAAAAATGGTGACGTGTTCAATACTTTTTTTACCAGCTGTATTTTTGCTCATAACTTTCGTTTAAGATATTGCCATAAAATTTTAGGAAAAGATTCACATTCTGGTTTTTGTAGGGAGAATCTTGTATCCTAAAAACTAATAAAACTTAATAATATCTAATGCAAAAGTAGCAGAAAACGAACAAAATAATATTACAAGGCTCATCTCAGCAAACTGCAGCACCAAACCCACTCAATATGTCTTAGAAAGAAAGGAAATTAAAACAATTTTAAAAACCATGTGGACATCTGTTTAGTAAACAAAGCTCCTCAACCAATGACAGCGTGTGAAATGAGTCAAGTGATGAAGACGAGCGTCAACACACTTTGCTAGCAAGCGCTGTTCTGGATTTTAAAAACATACTTCGACATTTCAAATCATCAAATTTGGAAGAAGGGCACATAAAATAATGTTCTTCATGGCAGCTTATCTCTTTAAGGTGTCACTAGAAAAATGATTTACTTTGATCCTCTTTTCAAAAAATTGTCTCTTCAAAACGCATCGACAAGAATTAAAAACTAGAAGACGAGGCTGTAGCTAACTACCTGACGTCAGCACACTTTGTTGAATTTCCAAACGAAGCAGGAGGAAATAACAAACGCACAGAGCAGCCTTGCACAATCTGGTCACAGCAGTTTGGGAAGAAAATGGCAGCAGCTGCTGACGAAATGTCAACATCCCTATATAAGTAACAAATATTTGACATTTTTAGGGTGTGTTGTACGACATACCTACATTTCTAAAATTTCCAAAAGTATATATTTAACTGGTGCACTACAGTTTGTCTAGGAAAAAAAATACAAAACAATCCAGTCGTAATGTGACAAAAGCAGACTAAAACCCTGCATGTTATTTTCAGCAATTATACTTAAATGTATGTCATATACTGTATAAACAGCTGGTAAAATAAGTATTGAACGCGTCACCATTTTTCTCAGTAAATATATTACTAGACGTGCTAATGACATGAAATTTTCACCAGATGTTGGTAACAACCCAAGTGATCCATACATAC